TGACCAATTCTTATAGACAAGCATAGGTTCACGCTTCAACAGATGACAGTAGAATTTACCTCTCTATAGCTTAGGCTATTTTTTCTTCAGCATGGCTCTGGTTGCAGGCTGACACTTTCTGTATAGTTTCTGACTTACAGTGTCACAGCTCCAGGTCCTACAGCAAGAAAAGGCTTTATTTCTCAGTAGGTTGTATCAGTACCTGAATTTAATTTCCTTGCTGGCTTGGGTTATTTCGGGCCACAGAACACAGACTTCTAGGTCTGTCTGATGCCACAAGTGGATACAAGGAGGGATCACCACTATGAAAACAACATAGTTCAGCAAAAGGACAAAATGCTCAAAGGTAAATTAGTGCTAGCCATCAGAAAGATCAGGGAGACATGTGAGATGAGAGCTAAGATGAGTATCAACAGCACCACATACCAGCTCAGTAGCAGGCCATGTATAGGTTCAAATCCCACATGCACCTCTATAGCTGTGACCTTGGAGCAAGAGTCTTCTTTGTTGTCCACCTCTACTCAGAGTTAGTTACTCAGGGAACAGAACTCCAGAGACAAGGATTTTTCAAACTCACAAAGGCCCTCTGCTCCAAAGGATGGTACCTAATAAATAACACAACCATGGCTGTGGCCATTTCCTTTCATTTGTAGAGCAGTAATTACCACTGCCCAATGGTAGGATTTACATCAATGTAGGATTTACATCAATGAAGGATTTACATGCAGGTGACATAGCTGATTAGATGTGAGTAAGGTCTCAACTCCGGAATTGCTAGTGATTCTGCTTTGAAGGCAGAAATAATAATATCCTTAGATATGTGAGGCCAAGCTGAGGATATCAACTCCCAAAGTATAGTGACTTCTGAAACCTGAAAGCGCAGTGATGTTCCCTCTATTCAGAATTCCTGTCCTCTCATCTAATACTGGAAAGGGGGAGCTGTGAGACCAGGGCAGAAGAATTCCATCTTCCTAGTACTCTAGGGTCCAGCCATTGACAAGGGCCCCAGAAAGAGGCTCTAAAGATGACTGTTGCTGTCTGTCTACCTTCCAGGCTCACTGCGGCTACAGTTTGCTGAGCAAACTGGGGAATCTGAATTGTCAAACCCATTCCTGAGTCATGAGAGAGACAGGGTCACATATGTTGGGCATTTCTCCCGAATGTCTATTTTCCTCTGGTCTCCTCAACCTGAATTTCCTTATTGAAAGCTAGGGCCTGTTTCTGCAGTCATAGAAGAGATACCAGAGCAATAACCACTGAAAAAAGTGCTATTGGTCAGAAGGCCAAGATTAACTTCCACATGCTAAAGGAATGTGTGGCCAGCAAGTCATTTGTAGCCAAACCTTTGATGGAGGCTTGGTGGCTGGAAATCCCCATCCAGCTGTGAGGCTGGAATGATGGGAGGATTCACTGGCTGTTACTGGAGCCAACACAGACATGCAGTATTTCCACCTCATCTTTGCTTCTTATAGAGCATGATTTCTAGAGTAGAGATTCTTTGGACAGCCTAACATGTGCAGAATGCATACCTAAGAAGCTACCACTGAAATGACACTTGAAGAATCTGAAAAGATTCTTGGAGGACACACAGAAGATGAAGAGATTCTGAAGAAGATACTTAAGATACTAAAATGCTCTAAGAAAGTGTTGACTTTTCATCCAACCTGAGTAGATCTTGTCTGCTGGATCTGGGATCTAAGGACCAAAAAGAATGGGATGAACTATAATGTAAGGCCATAGACAACCTTACTTCAGTGTCAGTGTACTTTTATACATGAATGAAACAACAAGAGCAATGATTCAAGGAAGGTTGTTTGAGTTCAGAAAAACATGTAAATAAAGCACATACTAAGTATGAATAGGGCAGCCCTTCCCCAGAACTTTCTCAGGACAGACCATTTAAACACAATTGCCTGGGATGTTCTATAGATTATAAACTGGGAAAGCATGAAAGCAAGGCATAAGGCAATATCCAGATTCAGGGCACACTGACCAGATTTGGTTCTGTGGCTATGTTCTGACATCCAACAAGAGACATGTCTTAGAGAATGAATATAAATGTTTGTCACAGGAGGCATGAAGTCACATCCAAGAGCAATCCAGGGACCAAGATGCAGCTGAGGTGAAAAGCCCTCTGCTTTTTTTCCCTGGAACCTCTCTCGAGTTGCTTAAGGCAATTTTTACTGTGCATCATTCTTTTTTGACAATGTTCCAACAGAAAGAGGACCACAAAGATCCAAGACAGACTCAAAAAATGTTCAGACATATCTTAAGAGGTATCCTAGTTGACTTTAACTGTCATCTGAGAAAAGAGCCTCAACTGAGAAATTGCCTAGATCCGATTGGCCTGTGGCTTGTATATGGGGGCTTCTCTTGATTTATAATTGATGGAAGGCCCAGCCCACTGTGGGCAATATCATTCCCTGGGCAGGTTGACCTAAATTGTGTAAGAAGGCTTGCTGAAGCTGAGCATGGTGATACTCACCTTTAATAACAGCACTCAGGAGACACAGGGAGGTGGATCTGTAAATTTGAGGCAAGGCCAGACCAGTCTACATAAAGAGTTCTTCCAGGCCAGCCACAGCAAGACCCTGCCTCAAAAAAAGATAAAGCAAAACAAACAAAAAACAAGAAGAAAAAATAAAGATCACTGAATATGTCTATGAGTAAGCTACTAATAAGTATCTTCTTCCATGGTTCCTGTTATATCTCTTGCCCATGAAGTGAATTACTTGACCAGAGGTAAGGATGTATGGAGTACGTTAGCAGGCCTGCCTTCCCTCTGAGTTCTTGCCTTGACTTGCCTCAACAATGGACTATGACCTATGGTTGTTATTTTTGTTTGTTTTGTAAAGATCTTTAAAATTATGTGTATATGTGTCTATCTTGGTATAGGTTGGCACACATGACGGTAAGTACTGGAGAAACCCCAAAGAGGGTATCATATCTCCTAGTTACAGGTGGTTCTGAGTCACCTGGTGTGGGTGCTGGAAATCAAACTGCCAACAGGGCAGCAACTGCTGAGCTATCAGTCCGGCCTCATATGCTGGGATTGTAAGCTAAAACAAACTTTTCTTTCCTTTAGTTGCTTTTGGTCAGAGTTTTTTTTTTTTTTTTTTTTTTTTTTTTTTTTTTTTTTATCATAGCCACAGAAAGGGAATTACAACAGGGTAATCTGAAGACTGATCTGAAAAACAACTAGGGGACAGTAAAAAGTACTTACAGCTGGTGAGGTGGCTCAGTAGGGAAAAGTGCCTGCTAACCAGAGTTCAGTCTCTGAACACAATGGAAGGACAGAACTGACTCCTGAAAGTTGTCCTCTCAGTCCCTTGTACTCACTCCCCTAAAAAATACCCTTAAAAAAATTAGACAGCTGAGAAGGGGAGGTAGGCAAAGTCCCACCCCTAACCAAGAAGCTATTTGTAAATGATGCCTTCTGGGAAAGGAGAAATCAGTTTTCTTCAGTGGAGTGTCACTGGATCTATCAACCACAGTCGAGGGCAGCTGCCATGCCCAGGAGTAGCTGACCAACATAAAACTGACTCTAGTTTTTATTTTGGTGGACTCTTTGCTATGCTTTTGTTTTGATACTTTGTGTCTTACTAGATTTTGTCACATGAGGCTGTGTGGCAAGGGAGGTGGGGAGGAATATGATCAATATGTTGTAAAAATTTTTAAATAAAAAACTAGAAAAAAAGTGGTCTTGAAAACAGGAGAGGGGAAAAAATGGTTCTGAGAAACCAGAATTTGAAAACCAAGGTCCAGAGTAAGTATTTTATGAGAAAGACTTACAAGACAAAGAAAGACCCATCTGGAAAACCATCTGATGACAGCAAAAAAGATGAAGAAAATGCAGATGAAAAGGGTCTGGAGCTGGCATGATGGCTCAGCCAAACCTAGTGACTTGAATTTGGCCTCTGGACCATGCTAAAAGGAAAAAACTAATTTCTGCAGTTTGTCCCTTGATTTCTGTATTAATTAAGGTTTCTAGTACTATTGACAAAATATCGTGACCAAAGCAACTTATAAAAGAAGGCATTTGATTGGGTTTATGGTTTCAGAACAGCTGAAAGTTCACATCTTGATCCACAAGTGAGAGGCAAAGGGGCACACTGGGGATGGTGCTAGCATGCCCCCAGAGACACACTGCATCCACCAAGGCCATACCTTGTAATCTTTTTCAGACAGTTCCACCTATGGGGGATCCAATAGTCAAATAAGAGCCTATGGGGCCATCTCATTCAAATCACTACCACTTACACACACACACACACACACACACACACACACACACACACACACACACACCACTGCGGCATGTGTGTGTGCACACAATAAATGTTTTTAAAAAATGAATAAGGGTCTGATGTTTCTGCTGAAGACGATAGTGGTGAAAAGGATTATAAAGAAGCTGAAAATAGAAGTCATTTGAAGGTAAGAATTCTAACAGGAAATTTAGTGAAGAATCTGATGAGGGGGATGTGGGTGGTGTTGATAATGCTAAGGAAGAAAGGCCCTGGCTGCTAGCAAAAGTTTTGTCCTCAGTAATTATGACATGAAGGGTTGGAGATGTCTCCATATACTGTGCCTATTTTTCAGGGTCATTATTCAGTGTTATCCATATAACACTATGTGAACAGGTAGAATGCTATCAAAGGCTTTGATGTATGGAATGATTAAAGAAATCCTCACTTAATAATAAAACATTATAATAACTCTCTAATCAAAAAAAGAAACAAGTAAATTAAAATTTAGAAAAAAACAAGATATAAATGGGTTCATATTTCCTATGGAAAAAACAAGTTAAACAAAATGAAACAAAAAAAAAAAACAAAAAACAAAAACAAAAAAAATGAAACAACAAACAAACCCACCTCCATGTTCAGGAAACTATACTATGAAGGTTTAGAGTAGCAAAGGAAATTTTAGAGAAACATTTAAAAAATGAATGAATAATGACCAGGGAGAATGATTACAGTGCACCAAGCTGATTATTGAAACATCTGACGTAGTTGCATGAAACTGAAAACACTCACTGGTGGGCACTGTTAACTGCATCTCTGGATGCAGCCCCACCTTCTCTTTGCACATGCTTTAGGTCTCTCACGGTGCTGCTCGCTCCTTAGCTGTACTCTGAGCACAAAATGTTATTCTTGGAAGTACCAAGGGGGTGTGCAGTGGATAGGCTCTTCCTTCCAGATGCTCTTCAGCCGCTGGGCCCATGATGCCACCATCACTTTTCTTTCTTCTTCTGATGAAACATCAATACCAAAACTGATCTGCGGGGCAAGGACTTTAAACCCACAGAAGTGCAATATACCATGCTGAAGACAGAAAAGAAAGAACTGATCATAACCACACTCTTTATGTACACTCAGTTAAATCAGTAAAGGGGGGGGAATGATGTGAATAAGCCTTCAAAAATTATAAAACAAATGCTACAAAGTAACTGAAAACAACCCATCTCTGGATAGCTGCAGGATAGAGTGCTTCCTAAGTAGAAGGACCTGTCAGATCTTTACTAATGAGGCCATCACTAAACACTACACTTTTGATGGATTTGACAGTCTGCTACCTTTAGTGCTATGTACAGAGAGGTTATTTTAGGTATGATACACTGCTGTAGAAAGTTGTTGACCACACTTCTTAATCAAAACAAATTGTAAGCAGTATTTCTTGTATACCATTTACATACAACATTAATAAACTAATAGTAAACATTTTTTTTAATGTAAGGATCTATCTAGGCCATTAGGAAATAAATTACAAGTAATTCTTTCTGGAAGTGTACATTAAGTGAACTTTAAAATTTTTTATATTCCCTTCTACTATATGTTGTTATAAACTGGGGTAAAGTATGTATTTTTAAAACAAGAGTTAAGCTTAGTCGGTGGCATGTATGAGAATGGCTAGCCCTCAGAGAAGGAGATTCACAGCTTGTAATTGCCCTTAATGGAGCAGCACTAATCTACCAATTGTAATCATCTTTCAAAAAGAGCCTAGCTTCTTCCTAGAAATGTCACACTTGGTTTTCTGCATTAGGCTCTTCATAGCCTACACCCTTATTCAAGTGTGCCCTATCAGGTGGAGTTAGAGGACAAAAAGCATGTTTTTACATTACTTTCTCCCAGATGGCATGATTTTATTTACTAGAAATCAGCTCTTAAAAATCCACTATTGGGAGCCAGAGAAATAGCTCAGCAGTTAAGAACATTTGTTTTCTTGCTGGTAACCAGAGTTTGGTTACTAGCACCCACATGGTAGTTCACAACTATCTCTAACTCCAGCCCCAGAGGTTCAAATATTCTTTTCTGCCCTCTGTGGGCACTGCACATATGTGATGTACATACATGTATGCAGGTAAAACACTCAAATACATAAAAATAAATCTTTTTGGAAAGCAATTTATGGGGCTGGTAGGATGTGTCAGTGGCTAAGGGCACAGGCTGCCAAGCCTGATAACCTAAGTGTGATCCTCAGGACCCACATGGCAGAAGGTGAGAGCCAACTCCTGGACATTGTTCCCTGATCTCCATGTGGATGCAATGGCATAGACATGTTCTCCTCTGCTATAACAAAATAAGTAAATATTTAAAACATCAATTATCATCAGTAGGAGAACCCAGCAAATGGACTGGGTGATGAGAGAGAGAGAGAGAGAGAGAGAGAGAGAGAGAGAGGGAGGGAGGGAGGGAGGGAGGGAGGGAGGGAGGGAGGGAGGGAGGGACAGTAGCCTTCATAAATACACAACTTTTAGATGACTGAATGTAAAATGGTAACAGTGGGCTAGGGAGACTCTCAGATGGTTAAATGCTTGCAGTACAAGGATAAGGTCCTGAGTTCTGAACCCTAGCAATCATAAAAAAGCTGGGTTTGGCAACATGGCTCTGTAACCCCAGTATATGTGGAAGGAAGGGCAAAGATAGGCAGACCCCAGGGCTCACTGATCCTGTCTAGCCAAATCAGGAAGCACCAGAATCAGTGAGAGATGTGATCTCAAAAAAGAAACAAAAAGGTAGAAAGTGATCGAGGATGATACTTAAATTGACCTGTAGCATTCATACATGCATGCATGGGCAAGGACATCCACACACACACACACATATACACATCTATAACACACATAAGAGCAAACAACAAAGGCGAGAGCAAGAAGTGAACTTAATAATACGTTATTTATGTAAAGGAAACTCTTACTGTTTTCAAAAGATACAACAGAATAATTTTACCAACAGAGAGCTGACAAATCAGTTAAAAAATTCCAACATCTCAGCAGAAATGTGGAGTAATAAATGTAAACCCAGAAAGAAGAGGAACAATTCCTAATTCTTATTTATTGTTTTGAGACAAGGACTCCTATACCTCAAGGAAGCTTCAAACTTGTTGTGTAGCTGAAGATGACCTTGAACTTCTGTTCCTCCTACCTCCACCTCCCAAGTGGTAATTATGGGTATGCACTACTACAACTAGCTTATAGAGAGCTGGAGCTCAAACTCAAGGCTTTGTGTACACTCAGCACTTACTCTACCACAGACTTATTCCTGCATCTTCTATCCATAATGTCTACATTCACAAAAGCAATCACTCCAGCTATTAAGTACAAGCCTTCTTGGAGCCTAAACACGTATCCCTCCTCACCAAATGCAAATGCACATCCATTTGACTCCAGAGGTCTCCTAAGAGTCTTTGCTCTGAAGTCTGCCTCTTGTTCTCTTTCCCTCACTGAGGAGTTCCATGCACATGGACATCTTAGCCTGCTGGAACTCACTCTGTCATTGCTTTTCCCTTCAATGGATGGCTATTCTTTAGCCACTCATCTGTCCAGGGTGTCCAGAGGTCTCAAGTGAAGGCCACAAGGTCTGTAGCACCTCTAACCAAGGCTAAGGGCGGTACTAGGTGAGGGCTCTCCAGGCTATGGTGTCTCTCATCACTCATACCCACATACTTGGTGCCACCTCAGGACTATCACAATCCCAAAAAACATACAGCAGACTAATCAGGCTTGGCTTAACTTTAGGTCAAGCATTATCAAAAGTTGTATGTCTTTCCTCTTAGCCAACCTTTAAACTGCTACCAATTAAAAAAAGTAAAATGAAGATAAAATGTTATTATTTTCTTTATCTTGTTGGGAGTCAAATGGAGTGCCAAGCTTTCAAGGTGTATGTGTGTAAGGTGCAGGAGGGTCCAGTGCAAATCAGAGAAGGTCTGTTTACCTGGAGCGGCCATAGGAGGTACCGGAAATCTCCACTGACTCCCGTTTTTGTGTACATCTCGGCTGTACCTCCAGTGGTTAAGGAAAGGAGGGCCAATTTACCCTGTAGGCAGGGGAGAAAGTAAACGCATCATGTTGCTACCAGAAGAACAAACAGTGCTCCTCTGATGTTGTACAGTGGTTTATGATGGTCAGGAGGGAGTCAGAAGTCAGGTTCCATCCAGGATAGACAAATGTAAGACCTCCACATCCCACAGGTCTATCTAAAAGTGCCAGCTAATGCCCTATCAGGGATGGGGACAGAGCAGTCAGCAAAGGGACAAGTGAATATCAAACTTCTAACACGTAAGACTTCTGGAGGGAACTAGGTTTCACAGACGTGAGAAACAAGTTACTTACCACAGGGCTGATAGGAAGATGAGTGAAGCTCACACAGGACGACCATACAATGAAGGTCAGTATCTTGGCTACTTGATTCATTTCCCTTATATACATTTAATTTTTGAAGCTTTTAGAATTTAAAGTTCTCCCAGTAAGACATTTACAGATAATATGCATGGTACCTACCAGGTTTCATAACCCCTCTCCTAAAATATAGGAGGTGTATGATTATCCCCTAACCAGGGTGGGCACATGGGGCCCTAAAGTGTAAACTAGCATAAGACCAGCCAGACCATCAGAGAGTCAGTGCCTTGAGTCTGGGGCTGAAAGTGGTACTGTCCATATCATTACCCATTTCACTCTTGCCCAGGACCTAGCCCCATATTTCCTTTGCCTATGTGTAGGCTAGTGTAGATGCATATCCGCCACTATAAAAAAAAAGCTCTATAAATTAAAAAAGGATGCACTTAATCATCTATAAAGTGTGCTGTGCATACATTAAGTGTTTAATGAATATCTACTTATGCAAACTATAAATATAAGTTGGTAAATGCTCTCACCTTCCCTCCCACTGGAAGGATCTGTAGTGATCCTTATCTGCAGAGAACATACCTTGAGCAAACCGGAGTCATAAAAGCCTGGGATGTCGAAGGCAAACCCTTGGCACAGTACCCTATCCATCCAGCCTTTTAGGATTGCCGGCACGCTGAACCAGTATAGTGGAAACTGGGGATGAAACAAGCAGAAACAAACTATTCTCTGTCTCAGGATTCATACTTTAGTCCCACTGACCTCTCCTCCCAGGGCACCCAGCAGGCAAAGGTAACCTGTTGGGGCACAACATGGGCACAGTGGGGTGAAGGGTAGAGCTGACTATGGTTCAGTTGCTATTCTGCTGATTGCCTCCTGATGGCAGTTCCTCCTGCTAGCCACAGAGTAGGCAGTGGTGCTGCTGAGTAGTTTTATGTCAACTCAACACAAGTTAAAATCATCTGAGAGGAGGGAATCCAATTTTAAAAGTGCCTCCATAAGATCATGCTACAGGCAAGCCTGTAGGGCTCTTTCTTAATTAGTGATTGATGTGGGAGGGCTCAGACCATTGTGGGTGGTGCCACCCCTGGGCTGGTGGTCCTGGGTTCTGTAAGAAAGCAGGCTGAGCAAGCCAGGAAGCAATACTCCACGCTCCCTGCATCATCTCCTGCCTCCAAATTCTCACCCTGTTTGAGTTCCTGCCTGCCTGCCTTCTGTGGTCGATTAAGAATGTGGATGTGTAAGCCTTCTTTCCCCCTTCCTTTCCCTTCCCTTCCCATCCCTTCCCCTTCCTTCCTTCCCCTCCCTTTCCCTCCCCTCCCCTCCCCTGTCCCTTTCCCTCCCCTTTCTTTCCCTTCTGTTCCCAACTTGGCTTTTGGTCATGGTGTTGCATCACAGCAGTAGTAACCTAAACTAAAATAGGAAGTAAAAACAGAGACTTTGGGTCAGTGAAGTCCTTGCAGGATAGAAATCTGGGGCAAGTGGAACACTCCAAAAGTGTTGCCATGGTTATTCTTGCTCAGAGGACTCAAGTGAGTAGGGTCCTTGTAGCATGAATAATAAAAGCCCAGAGGCAGATACTGGGGTTAAAGCTGAAAATCAGAGAAGCAAAGCAGCCAGCCACCTTTACCAGTGCTCAGATGAAAGGGGTGATTGATCCTGTCCTCAGACTGCTCCTGTCTGCATCGCTCCTCAGATTGCCTCAGACTGCACTGAGCTCGTATCTCCTCCTGCCTTATATTCCTCTCTAGTGCTGGGGTTGAAAGTGCTGAGATCGCACATTCTTGATTCATATTGACTTGGGGAATCATGAATTTGAGTAACATTGACCATAAGGATCTCTATCAAAGTAGAGAAGTATTCTAACTAGAGTTGTAAGTAGGAAAGGTATTTCAAGTAACCATGTACATGTGCTAAAAACAAACAAACCAATAAACTCTAGTTCCCCGTGTAATGTTCAAGCGTTTGTTCATAGGATGAATCTAGTCATTAATCTGAGGAAAAAACAAACCTGAAATATCACTAGGTCAGCCTCTTGCACCTTTTTCTGCTCCTCAAGTATGTCACGGGTCAGAGCTGTCTTCTTGTAGGCTTCATAGGCTTCTATCCCATATCTGAAGACTTCAGGATTAGAGAGGGCACCTAGGAAGGAAGAAGTCAATTTCTCAGTCCAGGTTTTCCCAGCCTTCCAAAAACCGCTATGTGGTCTGGCCTCACAAAAACATTGGGGACTTGCTGTGACCTGACCAGAAGGTCAGCCTTGAGACCAGGCTAAGGACAGAGAAGGCTGAGAGAACCACACTGAGGGAGTGCTCCCAATCTGCCAGGAGCTGTGCTCTGCACTACTCAATTTTCATGTCTTCCTAACAACCATGATTTAGTAGAGAAAAGGCCAAGACTTGTGAGAAGCTAAGTACTTAGTGTCATATGAGTCCTAAGTAGCAGAAGTGGCCCTGTAGGTAGAGTGGCCTAAGACTCAGATGTGACTCCACTGCATAGTATCAAGACTAGAGGGTGTAAACTCAAGACCTCTGAGAAGAATCTCAATGGAAATTGGGTCAGTTCCTTCAGTGTTTTCATAACTGAAAAAGTTGAACATTTTTTTGCATTCTATTTTTCTGTGTTTTGCAGGGTTCTTTAGACTGTAACTACTATAGAGAAGGGGCTAGGATGCATTGGAGAGGTTATCAGATGGGATGTGGCCACCACATTACATGCAGCCCAAATCTACCTAGTATTCTTTTGCACTTACAGTATTCCTTCGGTATCCAAGGGACCTGGTTCTGACATTTCCTGCACATAATAAAGTTGGTAGGTGGATATAAAATGGCATAGTATTTGTTTGCACTTTTAATCTTGTCATCTAAATTTTGGCATGAAATGTGGATTAGTTTATTAGCTTAAAAATTATTACTCCTTACCCTATTTTCTTAGTCCCTGTGCTGCCACTTATTAGGAGAAAATAGTACTGGCTTTGCACATGCTTACCAAGCATTTGACTAATGTGATATATCCCCAGCCTGAATTGATATATTAAAAAAAGGTGGGGGGAAGATGTCTCACTGGCTGAGAGCACTTGGTTCTCTTGAAGAGGATCCGGATTTGGTTTTTAGAACCCACATAAGACAGGTCATAACTTCCTGTAACTCCAGTTCCAGGAGTTCTGATACCCTGTTCCAGCCTCCTTAGGCATCTGCATGCATGTGGTATACATATAGGCAATCAAGAAAACACACATACACATAAATATAAAAAGAGAAAGCTCATGATGAAAATTACAGACTGTATCTGGAGGTATATTCTACACAATTCCAAGTGCATAGACAATGAGCACCTTCAAATTTGGTGTATTAGATACTGGAAAAAAGGAGGTGAAATTATTATCAGCAGATAGTTGTTCATATGTCTGGAGAGCCCCATATAATCAATTAAAGCATTACTAACAAGAAAGTTAGAGCTGGGGAATGGGGCATGCACCCTTGACCCTAGCACTCAGGAGGCAGAGGCAGGTGGATCTCTGAGTTCAAGACCAGCCTGGTTTACAGAGTAAGTTCCAGGACAGCCAGGGCTGCTACACGCTACACAGAGAAACCCTTTCTCAAAACGAACAAACAAAAGAAGTGGGGGGGGGGGAGAAAAACTAAGTAGGGTTAACACACCTACACACCTATCAAAATCCATCTGATAAAACATCTCAATAAACCTAGGGGAGGCGGGAGGGAATGCAGAGCAAGTGACAGCATCACAGAAGGTGAATTCTTCCTAAGTTCACCTTATACTTACTTAATGGAGTCTTGGCAAAAATATCATGAGATTTCTTTTTTGATCTGGAAAGCTGACTTAAAAGACTTTAGGGAAAGCTAAAGTAAAAACAATTACAACAACTAGGAAGAGACATTGATCTAGCTAAATTTTATATAGATAGGTAGGTAGACAGACAGACAGATACAGATAGATGGATATAGATATATATTATACTGTGTATTGACTCTCAGGAAATACTTCCCAGATTTTACCTCAGTGATGCTGTAGCTGACTATCAGCTGCCTTAGTACAGTGTTTTGAAAGAGAATGGTCACCATCAGCTCATATATTTGAATGTTTAGTCATCAGTTGGTAGACTGGGGAAGATTAAGAGATGTGGCCTTGTTGGAGGAAGTGTGTCATTGGGAATGGATTTTGAGATTTCAAAACCCCACAACAGATTCAGTGTCTCGCTCCCTGTCTACAAACTAGGATGTAGTTTGAGCTACTTCTCCAGCACCATGCCTGCCTCTAAATCCCTAATTTAAGACAATGCTCTATAGGCTTATGGAAAATGCTCAAACCCTAGGGAGCTATTTTCCCAGAACTAGTTTCCCTGTGCTCAGGTTTCCAGGTACTTAGAAGCCATTGCAGCAATGATACAAATGGATCCAGCTATTACCAGATAACTCTCTCTTCAAGTTGGTTGTGTTAAGTGTTCTGGGAGAGGTGAGAGGTGAGGAAGCTACTAATGTAACTCTCATAGCACAGATTATCTCTGAAAATACAGAAAACAGGGTTGGAGAGGTAGCAGTACTGCTTTTGTAAAGGACCCAGACCCAAGTCCTAGCACCACTGTCCAGAGACTCACAACTGCCTCTAACTCTAACTTCAGGGGATCCAATCCTCACTTCTGGCCTCTGCAGACAACCACATGCATATGCACCTACCCTCACATAGACACACCTACAATTACAACAGAGTAATCTTTCTTTTAAAAGAAACCTTGCTGTCTTGGGAGCAGAGGAATTGGGTTGCTAGGAGACAGGGATGACAGAGACTGGCACCAAATACTCTTTTGACCTGAGACTTGAGGTCATGGGGCAACAGTTAGATATTGTTGACAGTTTAAAAATTACAAAGCACAGAAAAATTTTAAGACAGATGACTTATCCCACAGACTTACCAGTGATATCATTTCTTGTGGCCCGTGGCTCAAAGTTCATGGCATATAAGTCAGACACAGTGACTGTACATCCCTGTTTGCTCAGTTCTTCAACTGCCACTTTCTTCAGGGACCCATTGAAGGACATGGGTTCTTGGTGTGCGTAGATGATGAGCACTTTCTTACCTGTGTCAAGGGAAGAGATTTTTTTGGAGAGCACATCTTTTGTCAAAATTCAGTGAAGATTAGGTTGAAAGTGATATATAGATACATTATTGCACTGAACCAAAGGAATCAGAAACCTTTTTAATGGGTAATAAAATAATAATATTTTGGTGCTATTACAGTGCACTGTAACTTGGGCTTACTAATACAAATTGAGTAGCTCCTGCTTTTTAAATTCTTGGGACCAGAAATGATTTGGAATTTGACTCTTTTTTCAGACTTTGAAATACTTGTATAGACTTTACAAACCAAACACCCCAAACTTTAAAATTCCAAGTTAAAAATGCTCAAGAACCTATCTTTCTGATTCTGGAGATTCGGTAATTATACCCTCAGAACTGTATCTTTGAATTGAAGGTAGTTAACCTTTACTCATAAATACAATGAGCTAAACCAAGCCCCCTTAGGAAATATACAACTAACATCTTTAAAACGCCTGCTCCAGTTTGCATAGCCTGTATGTTAAGTGTTAGCCTTTCTCTATAGCAGAGAATAAAACAAAAAGAAAAGGAATTAATCCTTGTGGCTACATCACCAGGGAGCAACAATGGCAAGACTGGTATATTCTACATTCCATCTCCCCCAGGTCCATGGACACCTGACCAATAAGATAGGATGGACTAGACCCTGGTCTCTTGGGGGAGACAGGGGAGATGTGTGGAAACTCTTTTGGTGGTGACACTGAGACAAGATTCTTAGAGCAGGCCATGAAGGCACTGTTCCTATCATGAATAAGCATGAAGACATGAATTTGGATCCTAGCACTCACCCAAAAAGCCAAGGGTATCAGCACATGTCGGCAGCCCTAGTACTTGGTGGGGGTAGAGATAAGAGAATAACGGGAGCTCACTGGCTAGCCAGTTTAGGTCAGGGTGCTGCAGATCCCATTGCAAACCCTGTATTTAAAAATAAGGTCTAGGGGGCTGGAGAGACAGTTCAGTGGCTGCTCTTCCAGAGAACCTAGGTTCAATTCTCAACACCCACATGGCTCACAACCATCTATAACTGTGCAAGACATGTATGTGGAATACAGACATATATGCAAATACTCATATACATAATAATTTTAAAAAATCAGGTGAATAAGTGGGGAAGATATCCAGTGTCAACCTTTGGCCTTGTCATGTTCCCACACATGTAAGTGCACCTACATATGCGCACGCACGTGCGTGTGCGTGTGCGTGTGTGTGCACACACGCACACACACACACCTCATGTATGTGCTGGTGCCTGTGAATGTGAGTACACTGTGTGCACATGTGTATAGAAGCCAGAAATCTGTATCAGATGTCTTCTTCAGTGGCCTTCTCCCTTATTTTTTGAGATAGTTTCTCATTGAACCGATTTGGCTAGACTGGCTGGATAAAGAGCTCCAGGATACCTCTATCTGCATGCTAGGGTTACGATGGGTGCTTCTGTGCCTGGCTTTTGTGTGGGTGCTAGGGATCTGAACTCAGGTCTCATATGTGTTTGGCAAACACTTTACTGACAATCTCTCTGGAACGAAGATGTTAAACTCTTGTTTAAGCTTGCTAGTCTAGGCTCCTGAATAGAAACGTTAGCTTGAAGCAAACGGTTTCAGGGCATTTATCTGAGTGTGAAGGTTGAATTCCATGTGTTGGATTAATTATTAGGTTTTCTTTCACTTTCTAATGTTCCAATGCTATAAAGGAACTGCACTTTGAGGGCTTGCCAAGAGAATGAGTATAAATGAAATGCCTACATCAGTGTTTGTCAATGAGGGGCAGTGTTACCAGTCACAGGCACAACTGTCAAAAGTGCAGATGTTTCTAACTGTCATCACTGGTGGTAGAAGGAGTGCTTCTGGCATCTAATGGGTACAGCCTAGAGACAGTGCTAAATATGCTATAGGTTGGCCCCCTACAACTACTGATCTAGTCTCCAACATCAGTAGTACCAAGGGCAGAAATTCCAAAGTGAGGTACAAAGGACAATATATAGCTAAGTAGTGATTTTCTGGTTTGTGTAAACAAATATTATAAAAGCAAAGGAAAAAAAACCCTAATCTACACTATAACATGTACAATGAAATAAACCTACATGTTTAAAGTGAGAGTATTATGTTATATATAAATGAGTTGTAAGATTATGTATATGTCCCTGATATATGCAGATACTGAAGCGCTGGAGGTGTGGCTCAGTGATAGAACACACAGTGCGGAATTTGGTCCCCAGTATTGCAAAAAGGAGGGGAAAGATACAGATGGAATCAAACCTCTGTCTAAAGCAGAAGCCCATTTTCTCAGCTCCCCCATTTTTGAGAACTTTTTGCCCCAGGGATGGTTTCTGGAAACAAAACAAAACAAAACAAAATAAAAATACAAAAGAGGATAGGCATGTGCCCCACGTTTTCTGGAGGAGGTTAAAATGAACAAAGTAAAAAATACAAAAGAAAATAATTACATGCTGTGATCCACGTCATCCAAGAAGCTTCACATATGCATCTGTGTTCCTTAAAAAAAATTTAATAACAAATAATACAATTTCTGGCTAAATGTCTGTCGCCCCTATAATAGGTCATTACCTGCCATGCTGGAGGAGATGGAGTCTCTGATTTGGTATAGTAGCCCAAAGTTTCAGGTGCTGTCACTCTTCTTGGTGACTGTAACACTCTGGAAGAAACAGTAAACCCAGGGGAGGAATGGAGGATAGAGGTGAGGTCAGGGTACTGGGTATAGGCCTCACAATGGCTGCTTCACAAACACATCTGAACAAAACCTTCTCAGAGGGCGAGGCAGCCTCTGGAGAAGTGGGCTTCGTGATATAAACCACACACAATGCCAAATCAGTGTTTTCCTGAAGGACTTGGGCTTTCCAGGCAGGTAGCTATCCAAGATTTCCTTTTTAGTTAGTGAAGCTGATAAGATGAAGGGTACTGGGGGACTCAAGGGGGTGTCACTGTGCATTACTAGGCCTTTTTCTCAACTATAAATAAGGCCACTTGGGTGCCTCAGTCTTCCACCTAGAGTCACAGGGTGGCCCAGAAAAAGTAAGGAAGATGACACATATATATGGTGGCTATAACAGATATGATTCTAGGGGACACTGGATGGAGGTCAGTGGTACATGTGCTTAGCAAGTGCAAGGCCTGGAGTTTAATCTCCAGTACACCCATTCAGTGATAGATTTTGGATAGAATGTTCTCCCCAGTGGACTCCAAAGACAAGGAGGTCTGTGTCCTCACTCTCTTGGCTGGCCATCTCCAAAACAGCTTTCTGGAGGCAGGATGTACTAGTCTGAATGAGAAATGTACCCCTTAGTCTCTGGCAGTTGAACATTCGCTTTCCATTGGGTGATACTGTTTGGAGAGGTTATGGGCAGGCGCAGCCTAGCTGGAGGAGTGTAATGCTGGGAGCAGGCTTTGAGACTATATAGCCTCACCCTCTTCTGGCTCACTCTCTTTGCTTCCTGTTTGGGACCGAAGATGTGAACTCTCAGGTCCCTGCGCCTGTCATCTTGCCTGCTGCTTGCTGTCATGCTTCCTTGTCCTGACAGACTCTATTCCTCTGAAACCATCAGCCAAAAGAGACTCTTGTTCTACAAGTCACCTTTGGTCATGGTATTTTATTACAGCAACAGAAAAGAAACTGACATACAGTATTTCCCATTCTTGCCAGGGAAAAACAAAACACTCAGATAAAAGTGAAAAACCAAATAATCCAACTCAGAAATGGGTAAAGACCAGATTTTTTCCCCTGAAGTTATACAAAGGCACTTAATAAGCATGTGGAAAGCATATTAGTCATTAGGGTATTATTATGACTAAAATCAAAACAGCAAGATTTAGTGGCAGGTAAAGAGACTGTTCAGTGTCAGTAAGGTGTAAAATGGTGCAGATTCTATGGAAGGCAACTAAATGGCTCCTTGAAAACTGAACAGGAAATCACTATGCTCCTCTGTAGTTGCTCTTCTGATTATCTGCTCACAAGAATCAAAATAGGACCCGAACAGGGCTTGGGATGTGGTAGAATATGCCAGTAACCCTGAATCAGGAGTTCAAGATCATCCCTGACTACTTACTACTTGAAAGGTTTTGAGGCTCTTGGGCTACTTGAGACACAGGATTTTGAGACAGACCCACTGGCTTATACATGTCCACAGAAGCTTTATCCACATATCCAGCGGTGAAGCAGCTTGTCTGGTGTGGTACTGCATGAGGAGGTGAGACACAGAAGCGAGCCACACAAATGAGAGCTGAGCTTTATATCCGCTCTTTGGTAGTGGAAAGACAGTGAACAGTCAACAAGCAGGCAAGCACGGAGCTTAGACAGTGGAAGGTGCTAGTGACCATGGCAGTGGTGATACCCCAAATAAACACTTTATTTTGATGAAAGATGTTTGCCACATTAAATATAAAACCAATTCAGTGCCACCGTGCTCATATTACATGCTGCTTTACAGGACTGATGGGAGAAAATGGAGGTAATTTTTCTGTCTTAAACCTTCATTTGGTGATAGTGGTACCATGCTAGGTGCTGAGGGCTTTTGGGAGATACTAAGGGTTATGCTGGGTCAGTGGGTGAAATCTTTCCCAGGGTACAGTCGCCCCTTTTAAAAGTCAAAATTGACCTTGACCTCCTGGGAAGTCAGTGCCAAGTATTTTCTGTTAAATTCTTATGAGCTGAGGGTGCTAAGGGTACCCCTCCTTATAATGCCTTGTGAAAAGGATGTACCATAATACTAGAAGGGTTAGAGAAGGTTAAAGTCCAAGGTTTACATTGTGTGTTTACAGAGCAAATCAAAAGCGTCATCTCTGGCAGCAGAGCACTAATCAGATGACTTTCTCACATCTCAGAGTCATTAAACATCATGTAGACACAAGACCACATTTTCTCTGCCTACACCATCACAGAAGGGTGTCAGAAGAGAGAGCGAATAAATGGTGATTATTGAGCCAGCCATGCAAAAATGTGGAACAAGAGAGTGTCCAAGCAGGCATAGGCAGGGCAGGGTGGGCGGGGCAGGGCAGGGCAGGGCAGGGCAGGGCAGGCAGGGCAGGCAGGCAATCAAGTAAGGACCCAGAAACATAAAGAAAGGTTATTTAGCTTGGCTGTGGTTTGTTTGAAGTGAGTGGTCGGGGATGCAGCCAGGAAGCTGGATGGGAAATGACCAAGTAAATAGCACAGGGTAAAGATTTTATCCTAAGAATAACAGAAGTCCTTAGGCAGAAAGCCCCATGGCCTGATCCACGTTTTCAGAGGTTCCCAAGGCCATTGAAGATAAACAAAATTTATCCTGAGATCCCTCACCCCAAGTGAGGGACCAGAGCCACTTTAGTTGGGGTTTCATTGCATTTCCCCAGACACTATACTCTCTCTTCAGCCTCCGCTTGCTTCACCATCCCTAGCTGTACCGCTGGGCACACTTACAATAAATGGAGAGCGCCTGTGTACATCAGAGTTGAATTTCCTCTTACTCAGGTCTCCTAGAATAAGGAATGGGAAGGAACAGAAAGAAAGTCTCCTGACATGGGCTCTTCACCTTCAGGCAGAGATGCACCAGATAGCTCTCCTTAGGTGGAAACTTCAAGTTACCCACATGTTTTGCTTTTGATGGGAGGCTATGGTTGTTAACCAACAAGCCGCATGAAATGAGCTCTGATATTTAGAGATAAACACCCAGCAGCTATTTCAATATTTTCAGTGCATCAGTTATTATGGCTCTTTCTTCTACACAGGCAGACTCTATGGTGGCTATTCTAAGTTAACATGTCATCCAGTAGCGGTATCATCGCTGCATGCCTTCTGCACTCAGGTTATCTTCTCACCCCACGCCTATCTATACTTCACTAGAGGTTTCTATGGCTCATACACGTTCAGTTTTCTGTATCTCTCTGAGATTTCCAGAGATGAGAGGTCACTGAAACTGATAATTTCACATTAGTGGTTACAGAAGGTATTTCTTTTGAGCCAGAGTCGTTGAAGGCAGAGGGAGCCACAGCTGCTTGAAGGCGCCAGGGTTAAGGGAAGGCGGTGGGAACCCAGAGCTCTGCTTTGAGTTTTACCCTTTGGTAATAAACATGCGAACCCGCAGCTGCTCTCTATCCAGAAGTGGGCTAACACAATGCAACCGCTCCTGTTAAGCAGGACCTGAGTGGTATCGTCTGGTCTGCTGATACTTTAAGGCTCAAAGTGCAAGGAACCTGGGGGGGGGGGGGCACGAGTCCACGGTCTAATTTGCAAGCTAAAAACCAGAAGGGGCTTCTTCGGTCCAGCATTCTCCCAACCCCCAAGGTCTCTTGCAGGAAGGAGGCCCGCGGTGAACTGATTCTCACCTCTGCCTCTGGGAGGGAGCAGGCGACACATCCAGATTCCCGGGGTAGGAACGAAACGCCTAAAGTGTGCTCGCAGACTCCACAGCTGCGCACTGGGACTCAGGGCAGCTTCCCCCGCTGGGCTCCGCCCCTCGCCCCGCCCTCACACTGTCCTTGGGCAGTCTGTGGGCAATAATTGCCCAACCACAACTCCCACTCGGGCCTGTTTGCGGGATCACTGGACTTCAGTCTCCGCTCCCCAAGTCTCCCTGTCCCTTTCCTGTTACCTGTTAGCGTTGTCTGTGGGCAACACCAGCTTGGCTCCTTGCTGATTGGAAACTGGAAGGAAGCCTATTCTGGAAGAAGGGTAGAGGAACCCTCCTGCCTTGTACTTTATCATACACAGCTACTACATATATCCGGGTAAAACAGAACAGAACGCCCACAGTGTACTACTAGTCAATCGAAAAAGGAATGAGCTGTGAATACACCCAGCTCCAGTCCGCGGGGAATTTCCCACAGTAAGAACGGCCAATCCCCAAAAGTTAGGAACTAAATGGTTCTGTTTCCCGAAAGAACAAATTACAGGGATGGGGAATCAGAGTAGTGGTTGTCAAGATTTAGGAGGGGAAATGGCTGCGACCAAAAAAACAATCTTCATGTTGAGGAATGAATTCTTTGCTTCCCTATCAGTGTCACTCCATGACAAGACGCTTGCCAGATGTCATCAGTGGAGGAAACTGTGAAAAAGATATATAGGTCCAAATAAAATATAGTTAAAACTAAATGTTACAAGGCCAAGGACCTCTCTTAGAAAATGCAGAGTTTTGGAACTAGTACTGTTGTTGGCGTCACTGATGAAGGAAGCTGCTGGGCACTTTAGGTGAATTGTCTCTTTCCAGGCTGCTGTTTTTGTGCTAATGGCAGCCCATCTGCGATTTTGACTTCCCCAAGACTCCTTCCCAAGCTCTTTGCTTTAATTCCTAGTGTCCTGCAATGACCCTTTTCAAATAAATGAGAAACTGCACATGATGGTGCTAGCCTGTTGTCCCAGGTATATGAAGAGGCTGAAACAGGAGGATCACAAGTTCAAGGCCAGCCTATAATAAAAAGACGTTGTTTACAACAACAAAACAAAACAAAAACCCAAAAATAAAGACACAGAATAAAAGTTTCCACCTATTTTGGGGGTTGAGGTTTTGTTAGGTGTGTGTGTGTTTTATGTGTCAAATTAAGTGGCTTTAGTTACATTCACAATCATTAGTTGCTATTATTACCAATTTCCAAAACCTTCGAACAACTCCAAACAAAAACTCTTTTTCCATTCCATAGCTTGGATCTCATATGTCCCTAGA